AAAATGAATAAATACCATAAAGTATTGATTAATAAAACCAACAATATGCAACCATGCCCTAATATTCACCCAATGTTCTCACCTTAAGGTGAGTATTCTTATCAAGCAAGAAACTTCAACTACCTACAAACTTATTTCCGACAGTTCTCTTGATCCAATTTGCCATTATTAAAGCCTTCTCTGCACAAATCATTGAATAGCCAGGCATATTCTCAACAACCCAAAAAAAGAAGTTTATTTTAAATATCCCATAGGCCAGAACCGAAATCCCTGATCAACCAGCTTCTGGCATCATCCTGTTAACTCCCCTCGAGTATCTCATCAACATTTCTTACATCAACAATCCCAGCCACTTAGCTCAAGACAACAGCTCACAATGGTCTCTTCAGCTTCCCGATGCCTGCATTAACCTCCATACACTTGTTCCTCATTGTATCCCATCTTATCCCAGGCAACCCTCCCCTCCTGCACAACCCTCTGTCTCTCATCCTGGCTGGCCCCACCCTCAGCTATTACCCCAGTGGGAACAGCGGCTGGTGTTCTGTTACAGGCAAAGTCTTGTATATTGTCTCTGTAAACATGGCCACTATGGTGGAGATGGAACACTGGTGGGTTGGCACTTTAAACTTTACCATTCTTTCTTGCATGATCTTCAATAAGTTTTTATTGTCTTGGCATGATTGAATGAATGAATTATAAACCATGAACTGATCAGACACAAATAAATAGAAGAAAATAATCAATGTTTTAAAGAATCTCTCCAGCAAAATAACTGAACAAATTCAGAAAATTCACAAAATAATTGATATAACTTATACAAATTCTTTACCATTTCTCCACATCTAAATTTACTGAGTGACACGTCTTGAATATTACATGTAAAACAATACTCACCTAAAATATATAACTCTCAGCAAGAAAAATCCTTTAAAATAATCCAAACTTGTTCAAATTAACTCCAGGCCCCAAACAATCCCAAGTAGGCAAAACAAACTGCACGTGTACTCCTGCAAACTTGACACAGGGCTGGTCCCACACTCTCAACACACATGCACATGCGCTGCGATGAGAATACCTATGCAGATAAGTATCTTAACACACATCTGCACACTACATATGTGGGGGGAGAATTTCTTGATGGCCCATGAGTTTCACACTGATAAATTTGTTTCCTCGCCATTCTTTTCTGTCTTCAAAGCTGATGGTTTTCATTGGCAACCCAGCATGTTCCATTTCAACTTTGGAGGGGGAGGGTGCAATAGGGCAAACCATTCTGTCAGGGAGGGGTTATTGATTGCAAAGGAAATTGGGTATTAATTTCTACAGGGAGTGGGCCTAGGGAGCCTCGTTTCACTTCAAGAACTTAAACACTGGGAAACTTTGGTAAAACGGATGTTTTTCAGACTTCTGATAAAAACAAAGTGACCTCACAATTTTAATTCAAAGACACAGATTCAAACTAAATATTCAACTAATAAAAATAACATAAACTTCATATGCTTGTTTATATAAATTAAACTAAAGTAACAACTTAAAAAACTAAACATGAAATAAATTTCATATTTTAAATTTCTGAAAATATTTCAATTTAGGTGTCTGTGAAATCTCACACATAAAATTCATTTATTCCGCGGAAGTGAGGAAGAAATATATTTGTGAATGAATATTTATAACTTGCTAACTGACAAAATATCTGCTGAAATCATCATGATGTTTTACTTTTAAATAAACTCCCCATTAGCTAATGGAGAAATCATTGCCAAAATATGTTAAAACTATCACATGACACGTGCAGTAATGAGTTCAACATTTAAGTTTGATTTTATTACATAAACTGTATTAATTCTGACAGAGCACCACATGCACGTTTATCTCCCTTTCCTGTTGATCAAAAGTAAAAGTTATGATGCTCTTTTTGTGTCTTATATCATAATTATGTTTGTACTGTTTTTTAAACCCCTTTCTTTGAAGATTTTTAGTTAGACTTACACAAGTCTATAAGGTAATAATAAACTGTTAAAATAATGTGTATAAAATATAAATATTCCTCTAAAAGTACTGTCTGCTTATCTAGACTTGCCTCTTTAAAGAATAGAATAACTATACACCAATGAGCTTAGCATTCAGTAAAGCCTTGGAGCAAGGCTAATTTTGAGTGTGTACAGTTGATGTTAACTTAAAATTGGACTGAAGATGAACCCATTATTGAAATTTCTAGTAATTTCAAAATCAGATCTGTTCATTATGCACTTTGTATTCCCATGCAAATTAATGTCTGGTTATTTCTGCATTAAAGATGTACAAGAGTTTGAAAGGAAAAGACACTTAAAGATGTGATGTTTGTTTTACTTCAACATTCAAGAATTATTAGTCATATGTCTATATAATGAATGTTTTCATAATTAATACAGTTAAGTTATCAATAACATTATATCATAAGTTACTTCGGCTTCTTTTCCGTATATCTAAATGCATCTAAACAGGGATGCTATATATCATAGTCACAAGGCAGAGGGATGCTTGTTTAAATTATTTTCATATGCTGCAGTTTTTTTATCAGTTGGCAGTAAAACCCAAGATAGAATATATCATTTTGACATGTAAATCTTTAAAGATTTATTTATGTAAAAGAGAAAACCATTTTCATTTGAATGGCATTTGCTGAAAAATATCCCTTCAAAGCAAATATTAAAAACATGAATTTACAATAAATACAATTCCTGGGACATTTATTACCACAAAAGATGAAAAGATAAGGAAATATAGATAACTTTATTATTTCTGACAAATATTTTTCATAAATTCCATTTTGCAGTTGCAGAGTCTCCTATAAACCATTCTTATCCATCACACATCTTCTTGATAAGGAAGATGTGACAGATGAATTTTGGAAAAACACCTGTAAAAAGTACTATAAAAAGATGTTTACAACTGAGCTGAAAATGACATTTTGCTCACTTTTCGCATTGTCACAATAAAAACCACTTTAAATAACCAGGATATAGGACAATCATTTTGATTAATTATTTTGGTTATTGAGAGTTTTCTTCATGCATGTTGATAGCATATTTGACATGATCTGTTACACAGAAATGGCATGTTTCTCATGTCATTAACATGGTATATTATATCCAATAAACCACCCTGTCAACCAAACAGATTTATTCCTTGAGCTGTTATAGCTGTATATGATTTTGGCACTAGATGTATGTAAAATGACTTCATAACAACACATTGCTTGTACATGAGATTTAAAAATGTCAATTGAAAACAGAAGGTAAAAAAATAATATTAAAATTAAAATTATAATAATATAGTTCTTGCATTTAACAAGTTGTATATCATGTAGACCATATTGTTTAATATGCTCAAATTATGTTTGGTAAATCCCCGATTTGATTCAGAAAGGCTCCATTTAGATGTATATTTGCAGGTGTCGGAGTTGCACTTCATATATTCCAGTTGTGATAAATGATGAAACAATATTTTCAGCTTTGAGATTAAATTGTTTGCTTTATTATATAAAAACGTCTGAATCAAACAACACATGTGAAAAATACATGATTGATGAGCCACTTGATGGGAAAGATAATACACAAGAAGCATCTATGTTAGATACATGTTCGTTTGAATGTCAAGATAAGGTGCATTGATCTAGATCGAAATGTTTTATAGAGGGAGGTGTACATTATACACAGGTCATAAAAAGAAAAAGACATTAATACTGACACTCAAATTGTCTTAAAAAAGCAGGGATGGATATACCCCTGGATCAATCCATTCACATCAAATATGTTGCTGCTATATTACTATGTTCCCTAATTATTTGTCATCAGTATAAATGACCATGTTGGGTGCTTAATGCATATTTGTAATGGAGAAGGTACTTTACATTTGTAAATGATTTATACTTACAGATTGTAATTGTTTAAGGATAATATGTATCATTACTCCAAATGCTTGCATTTGTTGTAATTTCTAACTATACAATGACATAACAATCGGTTTTATATCTCAGACTGACTGACTGACTGAGTTTGGTTTTACGCCGCTTTTAGCAATATTCCAGCAACGGGGGACACCACAAATGGGCTTCACACATTGTACCCATGTGGGGATTCGAACCCGGTCTTCGGCATGACGAGCCAACGCTTTAACCACTAGGCTACCCCACCGCCCCTTATATCTCAGATGTTTGTCTGGTCTGGAACATTGGCCTGCTCCTCTGTTCAGGTGAGCTAAAAATATGACATCATTTCTGATGTCAACTTTTGCATCCAGCTCATCCAAGTTTAGTGTCAATTACCTCTCTGTCAGTTTTATTTGACAGCATCAGACCCACTTAATCCAATACCAGCCCACAATAAGGGACACCACTAATATTAGCTGACACTGAGGATTATGCAAAACGTGTCCATTTAATTAAATGGTGTTGGACATGTGTCATTTGCATAACCTGTACTGGTGTTTTTCGACCTTGTGACTTGCCGTGTCAAAATAATGACCTCTGGCTTAGATGCCAATGATTGGTTAATGCCCCTTTGCAGATATTTATTAATCATATTAAACAAGAAACTGTCAAAGCATTCAGACACTATAATGACTAAATTATGCAACATCTTGTAATACAACCAAACGTGTGGCACCATCTTTGGACTGAGACCATTTTTCAACACTGGCATGTTATAGTTGCAGTACTTAAGCATCCTTCTGTAACACAATTATGTACACTGGGGACTGGTTCCAGTTTGGCACTTTAATCATATATTTACCACAGCGAAAGCACAATACTTTGACAAGATCTATTATCCTGAGAGTGCTAAGATGACCCATGTTTGAAATCCGTGTCCTGAAGAAATCTCATCTTAGTCTTTTAAGGCTCTCAAAGCTTATTCCACCAAAATGTCTGAAATTCTCTGAGGCCATATGTTCTGAACAACTAATTCCTGAAAGAAAACATCCATGTTCTGAAGTATATTGGGAAAGCAAAAAAGACTTACCATTTGAGCAGAATTCTTTGGTTTTGTCTTAATGTCTTTGATCTTTTCATTGGCTGCAAAAGAAAATGACATTTTACTTGCATGTCTGTCTCCTATATTTGCACCTCAGCTCAAAAGCATGCATGTCAGATGGAATGGAATTACAAAATGTATCAATGTTTGACAACTGATGGGAAATAGCATTCCTTCATGTGTAGCATAAAATAGTTAGGAATATAGTTATAATATTACTGCTACAAACCTTTTATGGCAGACAATTAGTCTCCTTGGATGAAATGCTATGAATATATACATATTACTTATCTTCATTTCAGTAAGACAATATTTGTATATTGTTTATCTTGAGGTAAGCATTAAGTGACAATACCAACATATAATGTTGTTCACATCTACACATAGAATCTTCCTTTGATATCTTGTACTCCAACTATACTAAATCATTCTGAAACACAGTATTGCAAACTTAGTTATATCACAGAGTTGCTCCCTGTCACACCTTCCTTGTCACCTATATCACTTTTGTTGTTTAAGACAAATTGACAGTTATACTACAATGAACTGTAACTACACAGATCTAGGCCACATAATCCAGTGACCAAAATATTGAGCAACAACCCACAATGTTGAAGCAGGATGACATGCAAACAGGTCACAGACGCTGACCTCCCGTGCTGCAGACTTTTTCTAACCCAAAATACTTTATTGAAAAGAGAGACCACATAATCAGAGTGATCTTCACAGTGATTTGCAGTGTCTTCAAAACGTAAATATTCTGCATATATTCAAACTATAGCCTTGCTCCAAGGCTGTACTAAATGCTCTGCCCATGGATGTACAGTAATTCTATCCAAGTCTAGATATTTATAGTTTTTCAGACATTTTCATTCAAACTATTAATTACTACCTTAGACACTTGTGCAAGTCTATTCAAGCCACTGCAAATTTTGTTTGCTGAAGAAACTACTTAATTACGTGTGATTGATTACATAATGTATTATAGGATAATTTACTCAATCTGTTCAGTTTAATTTCGAGCCATATGATGATGATGATGATGATGATGATGATGATGTGCTATATCAAATGAGAAAGCAAACAGGACACCAGACAAAATACTCAGAAACAAATAATCACTTATAAATTTTGAAAAGCAGAATTATATGGCAGAAACATGGTCTGACTACCAGATCAGCATGAAAAATAATATGAAAATGAAGCACAAGAATAAATGTCATCAGTCTAGCCAAACAATGCGTTTGAAAAAAAGACTGTCCAAACATTCATCATGCTCATAAATCAACAGAGGTCTTCCACTCACCGGGACAAAGAATGATAATAATGATGAAATATGAGCTAAAGTGGTGAAATTACATCAATATTATTTGCGTCAGTTCATGAGTCATACATAGGATACAGGAGTCTGATACTATGGCCATGCTTCAGGAACCTACCAATGCTGGCACCAATGTCTCTGGTCATGCTCAAATTACCCTTCTGTTTGCTTCAAGCAAGCATAACCAGTTACATGATCAGGCATCATCAAGTTCTATGTACACGTTACCAGATGTGCCCCAGCTGACAAAACCGACGTCCTGATGACCATGTTTATTACATGATACCAACACTTGATGACATGTTGACAATGGCAGCAAGGAAAGTGATTTATGTCAATGTGTCATTGACATGAAACTTTCAAGGCTGCTAATCCCAGGTTAATCCATGTATTATTCTTTACTGCACAAAAAGCAATAAAACTCTTTGATCAATCACCCGTCATTTTGTCACATGTACTCGCTTGCTTTACAATTTGTGGATATTCACCACTGCAATCTATACTTAAAATACAAATATCAATAAAACAGAATTCCTGACATGATCCGTGAGAGAGAGAATAGGCTTTAATGTTATAGTCAGAAATAATTCAGCCATACCACTCTACTAGGTATTGATAGGTTATTTTGAGACTAAAAAGAAAAGTATGAAAAGGGGACATATTGGCCCCTGGGATATGCATAATTTAAGAAAAGAGGAAACAAATCATTATAGTAGTTACGAGAGATGATCACATCATTAAAATTGACACTTGACTAACTACTGGCCTTAAAACAACACTACATGGATATATAAGGTTAGAATTAATGTATGTGTAACTTAGTATGTACTTGCTTCATTATACAGATTATAAGAGTGGCATAAAAAATATATCACATATGTGCCAAAACAAAATGAATAATCTAAATGTATGTATGTATAACTTAGTATGGACTTGCTTCATTATACAGATTATAAGAGTGGCATAAAAAATATATCACATATGTGCCAAAACAAAATGAATAATCTAAATGTATGTATGTATAACTTAGTATGGACTTGCTTCATTATACAGATTATAAGAGTGGCATAAAAATATATCACATATGTGCCAAAACAAAATGAATAATCTAAATGTATGTATGTATAACTTAGTATGTACTTGCTTCATTATACAGATTATAAGAGTGGCATAAAAAATATATCACATATGTGCCAAAACAAAATGAATAATCTAAATGTATGTATGTATAACTTAGTATGTACTTGCTTCATTATACAGATTATAAGAGTGGCATAAAAAATATATCACATATGTGCCAAAACAAAATGAATAATCTAAATGTATGTATGTATAACTTAGTATGTACTTGCTTCATTATACAGATTATAAGAGTGGCATAAAAATATATCACATATGTGCCAAAACAAAATGAATAATCTAAATGTATGTATGTATAACTTAGTATGTACTTGCTTCATTATACAGATTATAAGAGTGGCATAAAAATATATCACATATGTGCCAAAACAAAATGAATAATCTAAATGTATGTATGTATAACTTAGTATGGACTTGCTTCATTATACAGATTATAAGAGTGGCATAAAAAAATATATCACATATGTGCCAAAACAAAATGAATAATCTAAATGTATGTATGTATAACTTAGTATGTACTTGCTTCATTATACAGATTATAAGATTGGCATAAAAATATATCACATATGTGCCAAAACAAAATGAATAATCTAAATGTATGTATGTATAACTTAGTATGGACTTGCTTCATTATACAGATTATAAGAGTGGCATAAAAAATATATCACATATGTGCCAAAACAAAATGAATAATCTAAATGTATGTATGTATAACTTAGTATGGACTTGCTTCATTATACAGATTATAAGAGTGGCATAAAAAATATATCACATATGTGCCAAAACAAAATGAATAATCTAAATGTATGTATGTATAACTTAGTATGGACTTGCTTCATTATACAGATTATAAGAGTGGCATAAAAAATATATCACATATGTGCCAAAACAAAATGAATAATCTAAATGTATGTATGTATAACTTAGTATGTACTTGCTTCATTATACAGATTATAAGAGTGGCATAAAAATATATCACATATGTGCCAAAACAAAATGAATAATCTAAATGTATGTATGTATAACTTAGTATGTACTTGCTTCATTATACAGATTATAAGAGTGGCATAAAAAATATATCACATATGTGCCAAAACAAAATGAATAATCTAAATGTATGTATGTATAACTTAGTATGTACTTGCTTCATTATACAGATTATAAGAGTGGCATAACAAATATATCACATATGTGCCAAAACAAAATGAATAATCTAAATGTATGTATGTATAACTTAGTATGTACTTGCTTCATTATACAGATTATAAGAGTGGCATAAAAAATATATCACATATGTGCCAAAACAAAATGAATAATCTAAATGTATGTATGTATAACTTAGTATGTACTTGCTTCATTATACAGATTATAAGAGTGGCATAAAAAATATATCACATATGTGCCAAAACAAAATGAATAATCTAAATGTATGTATGTATAACTTAGTATGTACTTGCTTCATTATACAGATTATAAGAGTGGCATAAAAATATATCACATATGTGCCAAAACAAAATGAATAATCTAAATGTATGTATGTATAACTTAGTATGTACTTGCTTCATTATACAGATTATAAGAGTGGCATAACAAATATATCACATATGTGCCAAAACAAAATGAATAATCTAAATGTATGTATGTATAACTTAGTATGTGCTTGTTTCATTAAACAGATTATAAGAGTGGCATAACAAATATATCATATGTGCCAAAACAAAATGAATAATCTAAATGTATGTATGTATAACTTAGTATGTACTTGCTTCATTATACAGATTATAAGAGTGGCATAAAAATATATCACATATGTGCCAAAACAAAATGAATAATCTAAATGTATGTATGTATAACTTAGTATGTACTTGCTTCATTATACAGATTATAAGAGTGGCATAAAAAATATATCACATATGTGCCAAAACAAAATGAATAATCTAAATGTATGTATGTATAACTTAGTATGTACTTGCTTCATTAAACAGATTGTAAGAGTGGCAGGTGTCATACCTTGGGCACCCTTGTCATGAACAACTGTCAGCACTATTTTGCTTTCTACACCAATTGCAATCTATTTCTGAGGATGTTGCAATGGCATAAATAAAATATATTAAATATGTGTCAAAATAGAAAAATGATCTTATGAATTTTTGAATTTTTGTGCAAATTATAATGCAAAGTAACAGGAACATTATTGCTTCCTACATACTTCTATCCCATTTGGTGTTCAACTTCTACACTTGGGAATTTGAAACTGAACCTTAAAAAGTGCAATAACTGAAGTTTAATATGCACTGGAGATAAAAAGCTTAAATGGGTTTTGGAAATTTTTCTCCGCTGGGTATAGTGGAATCGAAGAAAAAACATGTTTTCCTCATTATAATCTTTTATAATGCATCAGGAACAATTCCTAGCAATTCACTTTAAATACTCGTATCTCCTGCATAGAATGACCTATCTTGTGACTTTTCACACACAAACCTGCCATGGCAGTCAGACATGCTCAATCCGTACAATCTTAAGAGCTCTAAATTTGATCAAATGGACCAGCAAGTCGACTCATATTAGAAATAAAACACC